ACTTTAAAGAAAAATTTTACCTAAGCAATTTTTTAAACCACAAGTTCTTTGGCAATTTTGCTGCATAAATGTATCATTGCAGGGACGCAAATTTCTTAGGAGATTACAATTTTCATTAGTGTCCGGGCAACCACCAGCCGAGCCAGGTTTATCGCATAAGCCACAAGTTTTTGCACATCTTTCAAGTGCAAAAGCGGAGAGTTGTGGACTGCTACAAAGAGCTGGATTTTCCGCAAATAGTGTGCAATTGCTTGCAGCTGAAAAGTTTATGATAAATCGCACCTAAGATTCTGCACCTTCGTTTGAAAAAAAACTTGAAAAGAACGACTTACTATCGGGACAGCCGCTGAACTGAGGTGTTTTGCAACATAAAGCACAAGTTGATGCGCAAAATTTGGTAGCAATGGACGAATGTGTGGCTTTAAAACAATCCTCGTGGACCTTGTATGGTTTGGTCCTGCAAAATATGTGTATTTATTGCATGAGTACTCCAGAAAGAAAGACAAAAATTTCAATTTTTTATTTAAATACGTGTTTTCATAATATTTGCTGAAGATTTTATTATAGTTGTAATACGCCACATTCTCAATATGTAAATAATGTCGAAGTGGCAAAATCAGTCGAAATGAAAACCATGCGGGAAGTGTGAAATTTACCATCCGATTATAGTTATTTCGAATTGTACATTATATTATGTTATTATGCACTATATTGTATTATTTTGCAATTTCCTCTTTATTTCATCTTTAAATTGTTAATTTATTTTTTTTTATTTTTATCCTTAAATCTTATTATTTGTTATTTTAACTGTTGTTATTAATACAAGCACATGACGTTTGCGCTCTACTGGCTGGTTTTCAACAAATAAATAAATAAATAAAATTCTATTTAGTCAAAATTTAAATCATTCGAAAACGATTTAGTAAGATATCAGAATTTATAAAAATCACATACGGATTCGCATTGTTGGCAAGATCATTAGGATCATTATTAACGAATAAGGCATTACATAAGCCATTTTGATCATTATCACGACAAGCTGATGCGCTGGGAAGAGGGCGCCTTGATATTTGACCCTGGACTTCCATTTCCACACCTCCATTGTGACATTCTTTGATTACAGTCGTCGCAGCGTTTGTTTCATTTAGAAATTTCAAAATCAAAAGGGTTAGAGCAAGGATCATCGTAGCAATTTTTTTTTTAGGAAATGAATCTCTTTTTATATCCTTTTAGTACAATAAGTAAGGTCGCCTCCTATGTTTACTTCTCACTTCTCATTTTGTTTATTCACCTGTTTCAGTAAGCTATTGCGAGTTGTTTTTGCATTCAACGCCATAATCATATCAATTTTTTTTTTTAAATTTTGATCTTGAAGGGAATTTTTCAAATCTTTGCTTATTTCAGTCATATGATAAATGAATAGAAAGCTTAAATAGCAGAATATATTCTTCGAGATTCGTCTTTATGGCTACATTTAATATTATTTCAAATCCGGTTTAACTTTTAAAAATGCGCAACGGACGTAACGGATGTAACGGACGTAATATGGTTAGGCTATGTTCTTCGCTATCCATTTCAAATAATAAGTCACATCTCACTATTTGCCAAGTAATTTGATTTACAGCGCGGAAAACTAGAAGAACCTAAAGTTAATACGATCGGAATGCCCTTGAATGCATTGGATATTCGCTAATATATATGGGTATGGCTTCAATTCAGGAATCTTGGAAAAGTTTTAGTCACCTGTGGAACCAGCAGTGTTGCGAGCTATCAGAAAAACAAGAAGATTACCTGTAAATGATTGGCTGAATGAAATTTGAACTCTTTTTGTATGATAATGTATTAATAGATATAATTAATGGTCATTTTAGAAATACGAATTAAAAAGACATTCTATAAGCCAAGTGATATAACGCCATATAAATTTTTTGCCTGATACAGTGAACAAAGTGGTCGATTAGCAACGAGCATGGGAATGTCAATTCAGCCACTGGCTTTAGTTCCTTACATCTCGACAAGAATTTATCCATGTTATTTATCTATAAAGTTGGATGCACTATCCTTAGGAAATTTTTTACGAGAAATAAAGAGAACCCAGAAAAATTAAATTTTTTAAGAAGGAAATACTTAAAGCAAAACGATATAAATCCATTAAATATTTAGTAAAAATTTTTTCATTCGTAAGAAAAAAATCTGCGATTATTATTAACTATATTGAAATTAGTTATCACATCATGTTTCGTCATATTTGCTTATCATATCAGTTCGGAAAATCATTTAGATTTAAATATCTAAAGATCAGTTGCACTTTATTTTATGGTGGTTCGTTGACAATAACAATAACAATTTCTTACGGTTAATTGTTTTAATGTACCGCAGAAACATTAAATGGTAACATTCTTGAAGGCAAAATCGAAGCTATTATTTTTCGACTTAATCTGCTAATTTTGTCCTTGAGATTGACTATATGTCAAATATATGTCAAATATAGTAAATCTTTCGATTCAACTCAGTCATGGCTTGATTAGATTAGATTTTATTCCGGAAATTTCATTTGTAATTTTTAGTTTTTAGTTATGGCAAAACGCTGGATTTTTTATTCTATTCCTGGACTCCATAGCATCATCTCAGTGCTTTTTAACTCAGTGCTGAATAGGTTAGGTTCATCGCCCACCTGAGCACTTGGTACTCATCTTCTTATTTTCTACTTTTAATGAAGTAAGATACCACAAGCGGGATGGTCTAATCGAGATTTGGATTGAAACATTCAAGGGAGATTTGAACGCATAGACACTAAAACAATCATGGTCTTACGCCAAAAAAGATTTGGCTTCGTGCATGATGACAGTATGATTGCAATAGCCTTATCGTATTGACTAGGCGAAATTAGCCAAACCAGCAATGGTATGAGTTGCCAGAAGAACAAGGGGAAATTAAATGTTGAAAACAGAGCTCAATAAATTGCTTCACTTCAAAAAGGCAATAATTATTTCTCCACCAATGAAATAAACTAATTTGTTTATTTGTTTATGCTATTTTCCCTTGTACTTTTATCCTACACCAGGAATTCACCCAATTCAGTTTTTAATTTTCAGTTTTTTTTTCCAAATTTCAGTGCACACTATTCAGTTTTCGAAAAATAATTATGAAAAAAGCAAAAAAAAATTTTGTTTGAAAAATTACAAGGTTCCATGTTATGGTAAATTATTCATACGAACTTAAATTTCATTTTGCTTATTACGTCAGCCTTTCTTTATTATTAAAATCTTCTCCTATGTTTAAGAGGTAAAACCTCTTTTAATAGCTTTTTTCAGATAGATCGACAGTTGCTTCGAATATCCAAACAACGCACTTCATAACAGTTTATCCTAGTATGGAAGTGGTTGATTTTCAGAGTCAATTCTTTAGTTGGGACCCGCATTCATCTGCGACTCCAGAGATGCCGCTGATATCTATATCACTGAGGTGCTTCAACAATTCACTCACTGTCCCAAATCTCTTAGTTTGCGATACCTGATGGGCAAGAATTCCTTCGATTCCTTCAGATTCCTTCCCACTATTCTTTCGCCCATGTATGCAGTTTATAGCAAATTTCATTAGGAAATTCTTATTTCGGAAAATATAAATGAAAATATTGTAATATATATTAGTACGAAGTGTGATGTGAAGAATTGTGCACATAAGGAAAATGAAGGAGATCCACCATAGCTGCTAACGTAATATTCTTCCCCTTTTTACGGTAGATCAATTTTTTCGCAGCTGTGGCTTTACTTAATATAAATGTAGCTTGACAAGACATTATAATTAAAACTGGTAAGGCTCCCATATACAGGCTCTCATATGTTATTATTTTTCTTACGTGTTACCTCATTAAATCATGTCACGTGAACTTGGCCTAAAAATTATTGAATGTTAGCACAAATTTTCATAAGAGCCATAAAACATAGAATGCAACAGCAGCAATGCCTTACGGAAATGGAAAAATAAACGTTAGGAGAAATCGTTATGTTTTGCTTATAAACATTTATCATTTATGGATTTGGATCGAATCTGATTCCAATTCTTGTTAAATGGTTAAATTGCTGAAATGAATGATGTGAGGAAAAAACTAATTGAAAAATCCTTTCACTGATGTTAAACAGAAGATTTTTCCAAAAGTATAATAAGGCATAATTATCGTTTCAGCAGAAATAAACCGAATGAAGCCAGAAGACAACTAGAAAATCAGAAAATCAGAAACTCAGAAAAGATTGATGCACGTTTTATTATTATTAACTAATAACCCCCTATTTACTTTACCTGCTGCTGTTCTTCACTTATACGTCTTTACATCTTTGAGAATCTGGTAAAACATTTGTGAACCATGCGGGCAAATCTTAACCGGAAATAGTGAGAGCTCTTAGAAAAAACATCCATTCCAACGTAAACTGTATTCGTACTGATATTCGTACTGACTTTATTTAATAGAATTTAATCATATGCAAAGTAAAAAAAATACAATAAAATTCTCTGTAATTTTAAGAAATAGAACAACAAATGAAATAAGATAAATAAAATAGAAAAAAGTTTTAAAAATATTTTTTCGAATGCACCACTCTCTTTGCCTCTCTCTCAGGTCAAGAGAGAACGAAGAGAGATTTTAGCAATAACTGCATGTTTTGCGGCAATAAACACTATAATACGATGAGAATGGGTGCACACGGCAGAATTGTAGATGACGAGCGCAATCGACTCTTTCATCTCTGCAGTTCGACGAGGCGACAGTAGTCGTTCCTAAAAATGTCACAAAATAATATTTCGCAAAATATAGAGTTCATATTACTTTAAAGAAAAATTTTACCTAAGCAATTTTTTAAACCACAAGTTCTTTGGCAATTTTGCTGCATAAATGTATCATTGCAGGGACGCAAATTTCTTAGGAGATTACAATTTTCATTAGTGTCCGGGCAACCACCAGCCGAGCCAGGTTTATCGCATAAGCCACAAGTTTTTGCACATCTTTCAAGTGCGAAAGCGGAGAGTTGTGGACTGCTACAAAGAGCTGGATTTTCCGCAAATAGTGTGCAATTGCTTGCAGCTGAAAAGTTTATGATAAATCGCACCTAAGATTCTGCACCTTCGTTTGAAAAAAAACTTGAAAAGAACGACTTACTATCGGGACAGCCGCTGAACTGAGGTGTTTTGCAACATAAAGCACAAGTTGATGCGCAAAATTTGGTAGCAATGGACAAATGTGTGGCTTTAAAACAATCCTCGTGGACCTTGTATGGTTTGGTCCTGCAAAATATGTGTATTTATTGCATGTCTCGAACCAAGAAAAATTAAAGGCAACAAGTCTTTTAATTTTCTATTTAAATACGCATCTTTTCACAGTGTTTACTAGAGATTGTATTATTTATTATAATTTGTAATTGTATTATAATCTAATCATATTTTTTCTGAATGTGGAAAGTGAGAAAAAAAAAGAAAAATGATAAAAATCGGAAGAGGCTGATAAATGAACTGATCAACCAGTCGTCGTCAAAAAACGATTCACTAAAATATCGCTAAAATTCTATCATTTCTTAAAAAAAA